TCACAACTGGTTCGACAGTTACATTGTTTTAACTCTTAGCAGGACAATATCTACTGAGGTTTGTCGTTTGTTACGCTCTGATTCGACTCCCCTCCCTGAGTCACAAAGTCTTCAGAGTTGTGTTGTTCAGCCCCCTACGTTATTGCCATTATTGGCCAGTTTTATCAGAAAAGTCTGATGCGTTCAAGTTCAACTGAACATTTTTTTTCTTGTCATAAACGTGTGAGTCTTGAATATGATCAGAAATTATATTAGCATGAAGAATTCATGTCCTGACAACTCATTATTACTAACATGTACATGATATAATATGAAATCTGTTTTTGTCCTGATAACAAATCAGTACAAATACATTAAATTTAATACACGTAAGGTCACGGTTTTGTTAACTGTTACTCACCGTAAGTTTCATACTCTGTGTTCATCACCGGTTCATACAGTGACATTACAATAGCTAAGTCAAGAAGGCAGTGTCCATGGGATACAATGTTATCCTGCTGTTTGTATTGTATTCAAGTTCATTGCCATTATGCATTAAATTTTAATATTATATGTACAAAACTTGTTTGTTTCTTCGAGTTTGTTGGTTAATAGTTACTACCCACATGGGGATATGACAATTAGACTTGAGTACCAAAATTTGTATATGTTCTTTGGATAAGATGCACAAACATTTTCATGGTAAGCTATATTTACCTGAAAGTGAAAGTTGCTAATTTTAAATCCAGGAAGCTAAAGTAAAAGAATTGTGTTACTGGTGCATGTATAAATATCAACCCCATCATACAAGCCACACAAATTTGTGAGTTTGTTCCCATAGTTCGCCACAACTAAGTTTTTGGGGTCCTAATTTCATTTGCACTGTTAAGAATATTAAGAAGACACACGACGAATTTGCATCCATGATTTTTATGTAAAAAGGTGCGTCCAAATGCATTAATACAGTAAAGAAGACTTAACCTTGTGGACCCTAAAGGGCTTCACCATTGTATACATGCAAATCATAACATGTGTGCTACCATGCCGTAGCTAGAGTAATCAAACATGTGCCACTGGGAGTAATTCTTTGATTGACTGCAACTGCAAGTGTTTTACACCCCTGCCTATTACCAACATGTAATAATTCCTAATATACATGAGGCATTTGTGGTGAAATCAGGCGCTCATTAAAAATATTATTAATGAAATCAAAGAAATCAGCACTTTTTTGACCGATGGGCAATTTTTTTTCTAATTTTCTTATTTTGGCTCAACACCTTTTATGTCCATTCAAAAACACATTTAATTTTTGTAAGGATTTTAATGAAAAACATTGAATAAAGGCCCAAAAATAGTAAATGTTCAGTTTCAAAGGAATCTCAGGCTATGGCAGTTACCTAACTTTGGCGGCCATTTTCTCGCTAATTTTACCTCTGAAACCAGGCAACCCTGACCTCCTTCAATCACAAATATTTCGATTTCTATTCATCATAGATGGATATTTTATTCACCAAAAGGAAGGCAAATGAACATGCTTAAACTTTAAGATAATACCAATAATCCCATATACTCAAAAATTGACAAGCGCCTGATTCCACCACATCGTGACATATACAATTATTAGGAGGCTCGCCCAGGTTGAGTGGTAATACAACTTCCCAGCAGAAAGATGGAGATACCATACTTGTACTCCACACAAAGTTGATCTCATTTCGTTCATTGCAATTATTATCTTGTATGGTTGGGACATAAGATGAATCTAAGCAACACAAGTTTTTGAAAGAGCATAAAATGTTTTATTTGTTTGTACAAGCGCTCTCTCTCTCTCTCTTTCTCACAAACAAGTTCACAATTTTAAAAACTTTGGGAATACTCTTGCGAGTACTTGGAGGGGATACTTTGTCCCTGCACATGAGTCTGAACATGAGTCCTTTGTTTAACAGGTTTTTTTTACTGCCAAAGGATCTTAATTACGCTGAAAGCATACTTCAGACCTTGTAGCGAAGGAGGCAAAGAACAAGACTAGGATGAGCCTCAGGACAAACTAATCCACAGGACCAAGAACCGGGAGAGAAAAAAAATCTCATGGCGTCCAACAAAAATAGCTTTGTCACTGTTTATGGTCTGCGATGAGAAGAAAGTCATTATGTCCTTCTGGGATTCTTAACCCTCCCACTGTCAGTCGGAAGGGGGGCTTCCTCGCTTTTCCCTGGGCCATTACCTGTCCCAACACTTTATCACCGGAAACCAGTGAACAGTAAAGGCAGATTGAACACAGCCACAACACATGGTCAGTCAGCGGAGTAAAGTTAAAACAAAGTCTTTTTGCTCTTGGTAGAAGGAATCATGTCCTTGGCCCTCAGAACCCGCACTGCTTCTCTCAGGTGTCGAGGCTGAAGAGGCTCCGACTCGTCCCACTTCTCCAGCACATCAAGAGCTGGATGGGTAAGAAAAAACGACATGAATTAGAGTAGTGTATGTATAGTATAGTATAAGGTTTTACGGCGCTCGCAACTGCTAAGGTCATATGAGCGCCAATAACAGAGGGTCAGAAGACAAACACTTTGGGCTTTACTTTATATTAACCCTATCCGTACACCCTGGAGTTGTATTCTTAACATTTTAGAGTACTTCTAGTTCGAAAAGCTCTTTGAAATTTTCAATATTTCTCTATAAATCATTCTGACAGACTGCTAAGCAAAGCGCACAGATCGGATTAATGAGAAAATGTCCTCTTTGGAAAGCAGTGGCACAGAGTTCCCCACGTCGTATGGATACGATAGTAAATCACAACGCACGGATAGGGTTAAATAACCCAAGCATGGTACATGTATGCACTTAAATCATTGATTTAAATAAACAATGCTAAAGACGATATTTTTTTTTAACACAGGCTTGAGCATTCTCTTATCCGCAGCCTCAGTCAGTAGAGGTACTCTGGCTTACTTCAAGAACGGTTCATGATGAATCAGAAGGATGACAGTCATGTTTTACCAGAAATGGAAGAGTACAGTCCATGCCGGCTTTAAGCACGGTCATCGAGAGAAAGCTTAAGCATGCTTAAAGCCGAAGCATGCTTAAATTAAGTGCGAAGTAGACAATCCAGAGATTTTCATGTAGAAAATTCCCCGTGCTATTTCCCTTTGTTTGTAAGTAGGCCTATAGCGGTCCCTCCAAAGTGTGCACTGTTATTTAGACACCCGCCATGGTAGTTTTTGTTCGCTTGTTTATTGTTTGTTTTTGTTTTGTGGTCGAATGGGAAATGAAAACTTAATTTAGACGGCCAGTCACGATACAGCACACTAGGCCTACTACACGTTGCCTGCGCGTACCACTCCCCGCTCTGCCACTCATACCACCGCCTTCATCCAACCTCGCGCGTGATACACAATCAGGTTTAATGGATAGCGAGAGTCGAAGGTGAAATCGCATCCAGCCTCCCTTTCTCGTCTCCCCGACTCTCTTTGTATTCCTTTTTGGTCGTGTGTAGCTTTGCCCTAGGCCTAGGCTAGATCCTATGTCCGCGCGCACGGCTGTGTGCATCTCTCTGCCTTCCTCTCCGCCAGTGTGAGTGTGTGTGTCCATCACTTGCGTTCTTTGTGTTTCTCTTGACACACTCCACTGCTGCGGTGTAGACTGTGTTCGAACTTCCATGGGTCATCATGAAAATATTGACTGTCTTGTAAATGAAGTGTGCTTGAAGCCGAAGTTACTGTGCTTAAAGGCGTGTAATTTATATAGCAAAAATTCGGAAAGAGCCGTTTAGCGCGCTTTAGTCCGAAACGTGTTTAAGGCCGGCGTGCTTAAAGCCGGCACGGACCGTATAACTGATTTTTTTTAAAACAAAATGTTGCACGCAATACTAGAGGGACTAACTACTGGTTGCTGTATTAAGCAGTGTTAATTTCAAATGTGAAGATAAAAATGTTCACAAGAACTGATATAATCTAAACAGTGGACTGGGAATTTAAAACAAATCTGATTTCACATCATTTACAACTCACTTTTTAATTGCTCTTTATGCTATTTTCTGATGTACCTTCCTGCTTCATGACATGGAATTTACGAGCATACACATCAAGCAATTGTTCACCAGCCCAAGTTTTTTATCATCTTAGCAGACTTGAGCTCCATTTCATATACATACATAATATATGTAACTTTGTACAAAGAATAAAAGGAGGGGGGGGGGTTGTCCAGTGACAGGGGATGTTTTCTGTGTATTGTTCATCTATTTTGGATGCACTATCAGGGCTGCCTACTTCAAAGTTCCCATTTCAGGTAGATTCAGGGTCATTTTCAGGTGGTTTGGCCCAAAATCAGGTAGTACAAAGACAAAGAAGGACAAAAAAAGATGATCGTTGCCCCATTGAACGCGCTTGCTTTCCAAGATATTAGGTAATTATATTCTGAAAACTTGTTTGTAAATGCACATGTGTGTGTGTGTCTGTGTGTTCACGTGTGCATGCTCTCGCATGTGTTTATATATGTGGGGAGATGAAGGGGGGTGTTTGGGTGTGCACAAGTTAAGATGAACACTGTGTATGAAATGAGGCGAGGTTTTTTTTTAATCATTTAACTTTATGGACTATCGGTCAGGGCACCTATCATTCAGTATTGAATCTGTTATTGAGTGCAGGGTGATTGCCAAACTAACTTCAAAACCCCTAGCCCATACCAATAGAAACTATATTAAAACATATTGCCCGACACTAGCATATGACATTGATAAGTCTTTTATGACTTGGGTATAACAAACAAATAATGTTAACTAGTTTCACCCTAAAAATACAAAATGAATCCTGATCTGGGCACCTGAGGAGAGGCAAGAAGAACATCAACTGACAAAACCATGTTTGGTTTTAGCAGACACGGATTTTAAAAAGCATTCAAAACAAAACTTATTTATAAAACCTTTGTAGTTAGGCTTACGGCAGAGCAAAATGTTAAAATAAAAGAGAGGGTGTACTGACAGCCAGAGCTGGAAAGACTGTGAGAGCGTGGGATGTAGTGATGCTGAAAACCTCGCAATCAGTGAATCACTGAATCATGGACTTGATTTTTTTTCAAAATGCTAAATCACAGTACCAGTTTTTAATCAGCAGCAAGCCATCATGATGCATAGGCATCCAACAGAGCTTTCCGAGGGTTTAAAATGGCATTTCCTCATAGCCACTATTCAATTTGTCATCACTGACAAATCCAGGAATTCCAACCATGAAGATACAATCATCAAGCCTATGCTCTAATGTTCCCTCATTTACGCACTCGATTGTCAAAGGTCAAAACCACTTCCACTTTTCGTTTTTATTTTATCATCAGTTTCTTCCACCGCAGCCTTTTCCTGCTGCCGTAGACTTTATTGCGTCAAACATCTCCCCTCAATTCCGATGCCCTGCAATGTTCCTACTTTGAATTAACTTTGATTAGGCTTTCCCCAACAACCACCGGCCGGTCACTTACTCATGCCGTACTCACGACCTCGCACACGTTCACTGACCGGTCACTATGACGGGCCCGACAATCTAGAAATCGGAGGACGCTTGTTTTCTTTTTCTTCCTTTTTTTTTGTCATTATACAGTGGAACTCGGATTCAACGAGGTCACCGGGCCTGACCTAAAATCTCGTTGAATCAAAGTGTTCGTTATAGCAAATATGAGGTTTTGTGTAGATAATTACAGTCACTGAGCAAGTAATTTATAAAGAGAAGTAACAAGTGGTGCCTGAAATGTCTGTATATTATGAGCAGTGCAAAAAAAGCTCAATTCGTTCAAATGCACGCCTGTGTCATCTCGATTGCTTACCAAAAAGCTGTGTTGCTGTGAGTTTAACGTACGGCAACTTTTAAATTTGATACTATAGACCAGCACACAATTCATTACGTAGATCTACGTCAAAACTAGTTTATCAATGTAATAATGATCAGTTGCCGGGAGGAAAAAGACTGACACGTTTGTATCTGCGACGTTCCACGCCTGGACCACCCCCCCCCCCTTCAACACGCACACACAGTCACACTTGTGCCGACCCCGACACACGCTAGAGTAGACACGTGTGAGGGCCAACAACCCATGAGTTGGTATGAAAGAAGGCCGCTGATTGGTCGCATCCAATCTGGTAAGTGAATAATGGTTCACGATGCAGGTGCAATGGATGGATTCCGGGAAGAGATAAAGTTCGTTGTGGGAGAAAAATGAGCAAAGCCGCGACTGAGGGGGGTGTTCACCCTTGAAGCGATCTCGTTGAATCCGAGCTTGCTGATTTAAGTCCACGTTGAATCCGAGCTCTCGTTGAATCCGAGCTCGTTGAATCCGAGTTCCACTGTAGTGACATCAGTGAGAATATCGATTTAATTTGTATGGCGACACTGTGTTTTTTATGCACAAACTGCAAGTTACAAATTTTCAATAACTGTAAATCTAACGTTAACGAACTATCACCGGACAATTCTGAGTGGTAACGAAAGCGAAAGTAGATTTTGATTTTCCCGATGGAATCTCAGTTTTACACCTACAGTTCCGCCTGCCGCCATAGCCGCTTATTTGCGTGAAACGTACTCTCGGACAGGGGAAAGTCGAACGTAATATAACAAACGCGACCAGTAAATTATGAACTCAGTAGCCTTTTCAGATTTGGTTTCAAGGACTTTGTGCATTTTCTCGGGTCTCAGCGATTTTTTTTTTCAGATTCGCGAGTAATAATTCCCGCAGTCCCCCTACGTAGAATCCTCATTTGGTACTGACCAATTCTTTAGACCAAGACAGATTTTAGAATGTTTTGCTTCGATACGGATTTTCTTTCTACATTCACATTTGTTTTCTACATAAATTAATTAAATGCACAGATTTTCCAGCCGCAGCAAAAACCCGAAGATAAACAGAAAGAGAGAATGAATGAAAGGAAGGAGGAAGATTATCTGTCGTGAGTAGACAAGATTTTAGCCGATATGCACGTGAAAAACTATTGCCGACCGAACAACACAGATAGAAAATGGTCGAGTGTACAAAATGCGCAATCTGGCAGTTTCTAATACAACTTATGGACGAGAGTTGCCGTAAATATCTGACAAGTTACGGAGGCAAGCTTTAACGCATGGAGGTGATATGACTATGCGGCAAGTACGGAACTTTTGGAATGTACGCATTTCTGTAAAAACAAAGAACAATGGGAGCACTGCTGAATTTTTTTTTTTCTTTTTCTTCTTTCAGCACCCATGGAAAATCCGGTAGTTTATAACACCTTATCGGTATGGCGGTAGAACAGGCCCAAAATCAGTATCTACCGGAAAAATCGGTAGATTTAGGCAGCCCTGCACTATTGCTATGTTTTGATGAAATTAAGAAACAATCACTGATAGAGAAAAAGACAAAGATATCAATGTTCATTAGAAACAAGTAAATGAATAGGCAAAATTCCTTTACAGACTTTTTATGCTATCCTCTCCTCATGTTCCACCTGTCCAATCCAACTCCCCC